ACAGAGACCAAGCAGCAGATAGAGCAGGAAGAGGAGCTGCAACAAGTTTCGCTAGAAGAAGCAGCGGGTTTGCGGCAGCAGTGGAAAGAGCTTCAGCAGGAACTGCAGGTACGGCTGCTACACTAGCTTTTTTCGGGAGACCCAGAAGAGTGCCACAAAGCAGCTACTAAGGTAAGAGCACCAACAATTCTATCGCAGGAGCTACTACTTCTTTTCGCTGGAATCCCTAGAATGTGAGCTTAGACTAGAAAAGGGCAGAAGGAGCTACAAATTCGTTCGCTGCGTAGCTTGGGAAGGGAATTTTAAGGTTGAGTTCCAGTCCACCAGCTTGATAGCTATATATTTCGCAACGAACTGAAATGAACTTCCGTGAGAAAAGACTTAAAAAAACTTGTGCCCCTGAGGCTTAGCGCGGGTCCCGGGCCGAGGGATTGGGTCTTTTAGGGCTTGTAAGGTCGTCAACCTGCTTTGTACAGAACCGACGGGGAACTACCAAGCCAATCGAAATAGGGTTAGGCGCGAAAGAGTCAGCACGACAGTCTTCAATTAAGTAAGAAGCACACAACCGTGCCCGATACCTCTCAAGAGAACCATCTCCTTTTGTTTTGTCGAATGAAGCCTGTAGCATGGACTTGCTTTAGCTAAAATATGAGGTTAGGATTGAGACAAATAAAATATGTCGGGGTTTGCAATGGCAGAGATTGAACTTCTTCTGGTAGGAAACTTATTCATTCATATCCTGGCGCGGATTCAATCTCCTCGTCAGTGAGTGCTTTCCCGCGATAGAGAATAGATAGAGTGGGTTACCCTGCTTTTTTAATAGAAGATTGGGTTGGTCCGATCCTGTCCTGCTCCTTACAAAAGAGAGTATAGGTACAGCAAGTCCATGGACAGCTGCTAATAATAGAGAGTGAAACTTGTAAGCCCAGGTTAGAATAGACTCGACCGTAGGGAGAAGTGAGAATAGACTATACTCGAACAAAGTGAGAGGGAGGGTAAGCTTGTTTTTCTTGTTATAGGCAGTAGGACTACAAGAATCGGCTTTTGGTTTTCATCAGTGAAGGATCTAAAATCTCAGCCTTTGGTCTTTTGGGATATTGTTTCAGCACAGAAAGAGCTGTTATCACGACTGAGAGGTCAGGCTCAAGCTTCAGGCCCCACCAATATGGACTAATCGGATCTTCTTTCAGGCGAGAAAGGGAGTATCCTCCTAATAAGCTCTACTTGAACAAGTAGAAAGGAGTCCCAATCAAAGCTTTCGTCTCGGGCGGAGCAGCTGTCTTTGAGGAAAATGATGCCTTGTTCCTAAAGTCTTGCTATTTTCTCGTAATGAGCTTAGCTTGATTTAGCTGACCTTGTCCGAAGACAAGTTTCGATCCTCGATCCAAGTTTCGTCTTTCGAGTCTCATTCGAGAGGTTGTTATTCGACCTGGAAAACAACAGTTTTTTCTTTTCTTAAATGAAAGAGAAAGGGTACGAAACTACGTAGAAGCAATGTCCGCTAAAATAAGTCTTTATCCTAGGAGATTGCCTTCCCAAACTCAACTTAATCAATGGCATGGGGGATCCTTCCTAAAGAATTGACTGACCTTGCTGTTTAGGACTTTCTTCTCTAAAGTCTAAAGAGATTTACCCGCTGAGTACTCCCTCGCTAAGGTATGGTCACTTATTGGTGCTGAGTAGGGTTACTGCAAAGTTTTCGTGTGATCGACTCCGGGTTTCTCTTGAAGCGGCGCAGCTCCCAAGTACCATTTGTCTCCAAGTATATCTCCCACTTCCCATTTGCGTTTGATTCCAACGGACCATTTCGTCATGCTTTGGACTGCTGGCTGCCACTGACTGTGTTAGCTTCCCTTGTTGCTTTTTCGTTGAGCTTGAATTACGATTGAGAGAGAAGAGACAGCGGGCTAAGAAGTTGTAAGTCACCTTCCCCTGAATGAACAAAAAGAGGGTAACCGATCCTTATTTAGAATAAGATAAGATTTCGAATAAGATAAGCCGAGCCTGCCTCAACCTCGGACCCGCCGCAAGAAAGGAACGTCAGATTGGTTCGAATCCATTCGTGAGATAGAATGATCTTAAGAGGGACCTAGCTAAATTCTCGAACAGGTGATTCTGTAGTCGCAGCTTACTCTTTCTCGAGGTGGGATACCTTAACTGGCTTAACTCTTGATCATATCTGCTGTCTCTAGCTAATCAGATCTTCCTTCTCATCGAAAGATGCGAAACAAACGGGAATTGAATTAGGTAAAAAAGGACAAGGATCCATGGAGCGCTAACTAGTAAAGGGACCGGAACAGCCTATTATTGCTATTGCAAAGAAGAGGGCATTCTGTAAGATCGTGGTTAATAAGTTCCTGGGCTTACCCATGTGCAAACTGTTAGGAATCGATCTATATGCTTTGACGTTTGGGATAACTGAATAGCCTTATGCGTACCCCCTTTTTCGGATATTGGTACGTTAGATAGTCTAAGCAGCGTCAAAGTCTTTCCCGGTCCAGTGAAAGTCGCTTCTTCTACTTAAGAGGGATTTAATAAGTCTCCTCTCCCCGATAGCCTACAGCTCGCGTAACCCTATTTCCAGTAGCCAATAGAAGCGTACGGGCTGAATGAATAATTCAGGCAAGGCAGCTATCGTGACTTTATGCCATTCCAGCTTGCACCCCCTAGAATGAATAGGGCTTTCTTTCGAATTGGATTTCCCGACTTGAGAGCCTGAAGCCCTAAAGACCAAAGGAGACTGGCTAGAATGGATAGCGTTTGGTTGACCCCCACTTTAGAGAGAGAAAATATTTAGGGCCCACCAACTATATGGTTGGCTCACCTACCCACCATGAGAGCTGACCCGCCAGCTGAAGTGAGCGGGTATAATCTATTTCCCCTAAATGAAAGAAAACTCCACCATGAAATTCCTAGAAAGGAAAATGGTAAGCTCTCCAGAAAAGAGCATTAAAGGGTCGAATCTGGTTTTGTGGAATAAGGCCGAAAGAAAGGAATGATGGTTCATAGTAAATAAGCTATCAAGCGCCTATATGTTGCAAAAGGGACTTCCTTCCAGCTGTTGTCTACTCAAGTTATGTGAAGGCAATCATAGAAGACAGTTCGATACCATTGGGAGTTTCATCTGTCCCTTGTCCTCCATTCGAGGAACTTAGAAAAGGTACTACCCTCTTCGTTTAGTAAACATAAGTGCCCGACTCTTTCTAAATCCAGCTTCAACCGAGCATACGTCTGCCGCGGGAACAGGAAGAATGGAAATTTCTTTATATGTTGAAATCTTTCCCCTTGGAATACTGGGGGGCGCCTCGCCCTTCTTGGAAAAATCATGCTTTCAAACTTGCCGCTGTTCTTCTAAGAAAATCATCGATAATAGACCAAGTTAGATGGGAATCGCCTCTACAAAGCTTGTTTTATTTAGAGAGACCTAGTCAACTCATAAAGGATGCGTGAGGCCGAGCCCTTGATACTACGCTGGTCTTTAGCTAGTTTCAAATCTTTTTACCCTTCAGTGGTAAACAACTTAGCTGAAGCTAACCTCGGAACTGATCAAGGTTAGACTTTCATTGCTTCAATAACAACCAGATGGGGCACCCTTTAGGACACATGCGAACAATCCAACTACTATCTCTACTTGATCTTCGTCTGCTATTCTGTAATCTCTTAGGCTAAATTGACCTCTTTCGTTCCTTTCCTGCTTTCCGGCTTAGTTCAGTATGCCAGTTTGCTAACTTCTCGGCCGGGTGGGGTCAACATCCGATCTTTTGGCCTAGACCTCGAAGACTAGAAAGTATATGCCAATTTAGTATTTCCACACTTGCATACATAGCAACTTTAATATTCACAGGTCACAGGATTTGCAGATCGGCTGCGCTATGCCTCCTCCCCGAACCATCAAAAGTCGAGCCACCAATCTTAGTGCCTACAAAATGTTCCAACCAAAACCCCAATTACGGATACGGGTCAACCCCAGCCTTCAACAAGCCATCTCTAACCGATGATTGCCAGTTCCTAAGCTCTGGCCTAAACACAACTGTCTTCTCAACCCACTCGTACTTCAGCTTTAAATATCCGATTCCTTCACCCGAACCAAACCTTCCCTGCCTTAGTTCGATGGAATGCTACCCAGTTCATTCGTGCACTATGCTTAACACATGTCATTCGTTCTTTGACTTTCAAACTATATTGTTGATGTACTTGAATTTTCTTTGTCGAGATTGGGTTGGTGTTCCGTGTACCGCACCTTTGCTTGTGTAGCTTATTTTGAATAAGACAGGAAGCGGGTAGAATAAGATTAAGGAGGCGAGGTAAATGAGAAAGAACCCACTGATGATAGTGATCAGTATATGGTCTTTGACCAAGTTGAGAAATAAAGATAAATAGTCCATTGTTCTAATTGAAGAGCTTTTCCTATTCCTCCCCCCCTTCCCACAAGCTTCCATCTTTGAGATTGTCCAATTCTCCATCTTAGATGAGGTAGATCTGGACAATCTGACGTATATAAATCAAGACTTGCACTTTGCAGGGGCAAGCTCTCTCTATTTCCAAGATTTTCTCGTAGCATATGCCAACGAAATGCTCCTTTTTTTTTAGGGGGCTGGCTTTCGTTCGCAACAAGGTAGCCAAACGGGTTCTGTTTAGCGTGGACAACATTCACTGGCTAAACCATATCTATATGGATCTTGTGGATCATGGAAGCCGAAGTG